CAAATATTGTTGATAATTTAAAATTTAAAAGGATGTATATGATATATCGAAATCTACAGATTTTTGCCGAAGGTATCTACCTTTTTGGCAACAGTCCCAAGGAACATCACTGGTCGAAAAAATCAAATACCTTTGCTTCTCATTATAACGCCATAAGCTGAAATTAAAGTAGTGTTTCTAACCATAAACCATGTATACAAACGAAGAAAAAGTACAAATTTTAAAATGGTATTTTGGGGGCAACTCGTACTGTGACATAAATTTATTTACTTGTGCCTATGAAGATAGACCAATAGATTGTTGCGGCGAGATGCGAGAAGGTACGCAGCAGTTGAAAAATATTGACTGGAGAGGGAGACATCTTCCAATTATTTCCAATATTGTTCAAAACAAACAAGTTTCGCTTAATTAAGACATAATTAATCATATGATTTATTAAATAAAAAATAATATTTCAATTTATTGTTTTTATGGGATCAAAAATATTTTCAAATTATATTTTATCGTTTTAAAACAGATTCGTAATAAACAATTACAACATATAGCCCAGGTTGTTGAAAAAATGCGTACTAATTATTGAATTTTTAAACCTACTCTTTAAAAAATATAAGTTAAACAAAAACAAAGCTATTTTTACATCTGAGGCAATAGCAATTTTAAAAACATTAGAATATGTTTATCAGGAAGAGGATCAGAATGCTATAATCTTTTCCGATTCACTTTCCGTTCTTAAAATTTTCAAATCAAACTCAAACACAACCAATGACATTATTTATAGCATCCATGCAATACTAAAACATTTACAAGATCAAAATAAATATATAAAATTCTTCTGGGTCAGGGCACACGCAGGAATAACAAACAATGAAATTGCAGATCAAATTGTCAAAGAAAGCATAGTAATGGGGGAACAAATAAATTACGAATTAACCACCGATGAACAAATAATCGCAAAACAGATAATGATGAAGAAATGGTCCTATATATGGCAAGAGTACAGCTTTACAAATCCAACACGTTACACCAGACTTGAAACCAAATGAAGGATAAAACCTTGGTACAATGGTATAACTACTATCAGCAGAATGAAGTTTGGTCAGGCATGTTATCCAGCACCTTTATTTAAAATAAAAATACTTGAGAGTGATCTTTGTGAAGCCTGTAATAAAATCGGTGACCTGGACCATATCTTTTTTGATTGTTCAAAATATAGAGCTTAATCTAATGAGCTTTTCAGAAAACTTTTAAAATTAAACATTGAAAGCCCATATAATATACTGCATCTTCTTACTTTAGACACAAAAGAAATTTACGATTGTTTGCTGTCTTTCGTCAGAACAACGAATATACAAACAGGAGCCACCTTTGTTGATACCTGATGTCTTTCCATAATGTATGTATACCTATCTGTCCGAGGCCTACCTTTTATCGTTTATAAAAATGTCCTGATCGACCCCTGGGCGAGAAGAGTGTAATAATCCCTGTGTAATCCTTGTACTCTATCTGTTTTTAAAAATTTATGTCTGCCTGTGTGGGTATTTACCCTAAAGCCAATAAAAAAAAACCTACTCTTTGATATAATATAAAGGCGATCTCAGGAATAGCTCCCCAGTCAGTGCAACAGCAAATTTTTGGATATTGTCCCCATAGAGAATGGGAATTATCCATAATTTTTTGTTTTCTATAGGTAGTTCTTTCCATTTTAATTAGATTTATCACATTTTAATCCTTCTGTCCTTTAGTTGATATTTGTTAGTGGATATATTGTATCTAGATATTTCCTAGATTTATTGTTTGCTAATGGTAACCAACAGGAAAAGTGATTGAAAAAGTATACCAAAAATATCGAGATATAACTCGGTATTTAGCTTCTTTTTTTAAGCGTTTGTAGTTTGTAATATATAGTTTGTTACTCTACCGACATATCTTTTTGTCTAACTAGTTCCCGATGATTTTTTTTAAATGTGATGACAATTTTATTTCTTTTTGGCATTTTATTGATACTATTCATATAAAAGTGTTTTTATATGAAGATTTTATATGAATTTTATATTTTAAAAGGTATTTAAATGCCATTTCCTTTTGATCTGTCTACTTTGCTACTTTATTTGACCTTATCGGCCGCAATTTATGATATATATATATGTAATATTATATATATATAGATATATATATATGATTTGATATTGACCTTAAGATACTGTGGATTAGCAAAGGACCCGACAAAGTGCTTTCCGTGGACAACAGGAACTAAGTAACAAGCGTCAAAATTATGAAACAATTTATAGGATTTCTAGAAGCAGACATACACGGCACTATTCAAGAAGGTCCTGACGGGTCCTTTATAACCAGTAACGAATTATCAATTTCACGTAGTTTTATTACAAATAACTAATACTATTAACTGACATCCCTCGTATTCAAGTTTCGTGTGGGTTTATTTTAATTTTCAATAATTACAAGACAGTATTTCGTGACCTTTTACCATGTTCTGCTTTTATTTATCTCGACACGTCAATTAAGTTTTTAGTGCCTAAAAGTTCCGCCCTGCCTTAGTCAAGGATTTGTTAACATCCCTGAAATTCCAGACACGTGGCGCCTGAAAAATAGGACACTGGAATTCTGACCTATTTCCCCAAAATACCAAGGCTATAGATAATGGATCACATTGTTTAAACAGGTCTTAATACAAAAGTGACATTAATTTTCTTTTGTAGTATACAGAATGAATGTTAAACAAAACATGTTTCTTGTTGACATACTTTGTGTTTAAAAAGAGAATTAGTTTCTAAAAGTTTTAAGTAAATATAGGTACAGAGCATTTTAGGCAATAAGATTTTAAACACATTTTTTACTTTGTTAATGGACAAGGAATAGAGTGCAACCCTTGAAATAAATTACAACGCACTTTTAACGAATATTTAGTTAAAAATACCCATGAAAACAATTATTTTCTCCAAGAGATCTCTGAGATTCCTAAAAAAAAAGATACACTCTTCTCGACCGGAATTGTATTTTTATATTGACATCATGATATTAGAATGATCTACACCACTCCTATTGTTTTTGTGGTTTTAATTAATATTAAAACATATTCGCAATAAAAAATTATATCGCGAAACGATCAAGTGACGTAATAACAACACACATTGTAAAATGAACTACTCTGCCTCCAAAATAATTTTATCTACATAATGATTCCCTTGTGTAATTAAATGTCAACACATTTTTTGCCAATTAAAAACTTGATCGAAAAAAATAGTTTGGTTTTTGATAAAATGGTAGTTTCATATTTTATTCATTTTATTTTATTTTTCTTTTAAATTCAACGTTCTTCTTCTTCTTCTTCAGGTGCCATCTTCTTCAGAGCTTTAGTAGCTCTGAATAGTTGTTTTGAGCTGCATCCAAACCATTCTCTCAGGTTCTTAAGCCATAAAATGTGTCTTCTTCCGATGCTTTTTCTGTCATCTATATTTCCTTGCATTATGAGTCGCAGGATGTCATACTTCTCACCCCGCATCACAGGTCCGAGATACTGTGGCCTTCTTTCTTTAAGTTGGATTTGTATAAATACGATCAAATTGTGCCACCTTATGTTTCTGAACAAAATAGCTTTTCAGACTGGTCACCCATACACTAGGCACTAGCCTCAGTTGCGCAGTTTGATCGTAGATATATGGGCCTAAGATTTTGACTTGGTTTATCTTTCAATCGTATAACTATATCATTGTTGATCATTTTTTTACTTCCTCTGTATTTAGAAAAGTTCATATGTACGTACTATACCGTCAACTAAACTACTACGAAGTAGTAGGCTTATAACACTGGATACGCTTGACTCGAAGGTACCGTTGCTCAGTACTGGTAGATTATGGGCGGGGTCGTTTATAGGGGTAAGAAATACGCTAAATATATACACAAAAAAAGGAAAGAAAAGAACAATCATTGACAAAAAATAGACATCACTTTTTTTAGATATGTTAATCCCAAAAAACAGAAATGGGATGTCCATGATACAAATCAAAGACTAAATGAAAGATCGATATAAATGTCAAAAAGAAATAAAAATATTAGCAATATATAAGCGGATTTGAATAAATCTTAGATATAAGTAATCCACAAATAACATACAATTTTATTAAAGTTTATTTCGATTTCCACTTCGGAAATCGTTCTCAAACTAAAAAACATTACCGAAAGGTGGGTACCCAATTTAGTGAAGTAGTCTTGAGTCTTGATGCAGCCAGTAATCATTCTTGTTAATATTTTCAGCTGAGCATTTACTATCATCAGATGGACGCTATTTGACCAGACCAGTTCACAGTACGCTGGCGCAGAACTTGACACAGATCTTAGAAATGACCGCAGAGGCTCCCTATCTAGTACCACAGACATTCTGGATAAGGTTGTTTCTAGTGATTACTTATGTTTTGTGCAGTTATTTTTAAATGTTTTTTAAACAACAGTTTCCTCTCTAAGGTAACCCCTAGATATTTTGGGTAGCGTTGGTATTATTTGTGCTACGTTGTTCATTTTGACCTCTAATTCTTGGTTTGTCTTTTGGCTATTGAGGTACAAACAACTTATCTCAGCTTTACTTAAGTTTGGTATCAGACGTTAGTTTGTGAAATATTTATGTAATTTGATGAGATCGTTTGAAAAGGTTTTCAGTTCTGTACAAGATTCATGAGTAAAAAGCAGCCAACAATTTTCTTTCCCTTTGGTCGCATTGCAGTAGGAACTCGGGATGTATCTCGTCAAAACCAGGCGTCTAAATGATTAGTAATATTGTTCAGTTATTGAATATAATAAGATATTAGCATAAAGCTACACGATAAGAATTCTTATTGTGTAGCAAAAGTTAGTATTATCACCCCTTTAAATTATTGTCTGTATGTCATTGTCAAATATAATTAAAAATTGCAAACACTATCCAATTGAAAATATATTCTCTGTAGTTTGTTATTTAAAAATGTATATTAACGAGTTACTTGTTTCAGCTTTCTTTTCGGCCAGATCCAGTGATTGTCGAAACAGACTGTTCAACACAGAAAATCCAAATTTAGGAAATTGTTTCTCTGGAATATTCAGACCTGCATCAGGCCTTACTAAGAAAGATTTGTGCGCGTAAGTTTTTTTAAAATAATTTTTTATGGTCGTACATATTAGCTGGAAGAGTAATAACATACAGTTCTCCATGGTTCTTTACCCGTGCTTCATCATTTAAAGCATACGAAATATGTCGGACATTTATTCCACGCAACTGAAAGTGAAAGAAGGTGGCTGGCTACAGCTCCAATCACAGATTATATTATAAAATTTGACGTTATCAAATAAATAGAATATAAAATGTTAGTTTTGCTTTAAAATTCTTGAGCAAAATTACAGCTATCTTTGAAGTAGCTTAATAAATTCTTTTTATGCCATTAGTGATAATGTCAATAAATAAATGAACAATTTACAAAAAAGTTGATGTGTTGATGTTATAGGTAACAGTCGAATTATTTAAAGAATGAAACATTATTTAGCTCAAATAATATTGGTGCAAGATTTTGAACGTATGTGTTTCTCATATTTCAGTTTCATCGCCTTCAGAATCTGAACTGTTATATCCAACGTTAATTATTACAGGTTCGAGATTAATATTACACATATTTTCTTCTCTAATAAACTACTGTTTAATTAACTTGTTACAATGTTCTACTCTACACACTTTGCCCAGGCGACATCGTTACACTTTTGACTTGCTTCCGTCCACATACTTAAAACATGTTCATCTCTATATCCATCTCTGCCAACATATGTATTATAGTAAGTCTTGCAATTTGCCCATACTAATTTGATAGCATTAAAATCTGGATAATATTGATGGCAATCTAAGCACTTCGTTTCCATGTACACGTATCAATTCATCTACAATATATTATGTATATATTAATTTATCTTGGCCAATTGTAACACTTCTGGTTTTAACTGATGTTCATCAAAATTAACATTGTATTTCTTCAACTATTCTATAATGTCGGATTTTAATCATTTAGCGGAAGGTTGTTTATTCATGATTTCACTATGGTAGAGTGCGTTGTCCATGACAATCAAAGATGGGTGTTCTAAATTAGGAAGTAATTGTGTACTTATTCATTTAGTAAATATTGTACTATTCATTTCACCGTGATAATCTTCAGTCCATGATTTGGAACAAAATAACAAACTGGCGTCTGAAATAAAACCTTTTGCTGATCCGGCATGAACCGCAATAAATATTTTTCCATCATAACCACCTGGTTTACGTACACTGCTGTCGTCTGATTCTGCTTCTCGTGGATATGTACTATTTCTGTTTTCCTTGTATTTACGTAAGAAACACGCTCGTTGTACTGCGATATAAGTTCTTTCAATTAAAGTTCTTCGATGATCATCTTTTTTAAATTTAAAGCCCAAATCTTTTAATATTCTACTCAATGATGTTTTACTTGTAGAAACAATTTCTTTAGTCTACAGCTCATTGATCAACATTTCACGGGTTATTTATACATGTTTCTCTAAAAAGTTACTTACTATCCTGGTACATATTATAGATTATATTTCGAATTGCCATTTTATTGCCTTGTGGTAAATCAGTAGTTTTCGTTTTTAAACGAGGTCTGCTTTTTCATGGAGAAGATAAAACAGGATTGTTTTCTTTTTTTTGTATATTTTATGCTGTTTTTCATGCCAATGTAAATGCAGCTGCTACCCTTCTAAAACAAAGTTAAAATATTATCAATATTTTTAATTGAAATTGAAAAAAAAAACAAAAATAAAAAGTTCCTAATTATAAATATTTTGTAACAAAATGTAATAAAATTGTCAAATAAATAACATTTATAATATATATGCTTGTCATCAATAAATCTCTATAATAGTACATATTTGAAAATTGTACTTCTTGAAAAGATGACAACGGCTCCAACGGTCCACCATTCCTTTTTTCTAATTCAAATTATTCGATTAAATTTTAAATGAGTTCTTGTGCCTGTGAGGTAAGAGTTTTTGCAGGCATAATTTAAAAAAAACGTTCAATAAAATATTTTCTTTTGTCATTTCTTTCACTTTTGCGGAAACTTAAATAAAACCATTCCTTAACTGTGTGAATGAGGTTAACTTTGCATGTAAATCAATGACAAAATAAAAAACACCATAAAATTTCAAACTCTAATATAAAATCATTTGTGAAAAATACTATTCGTGTAATATAAATAACTTTGAAATGCAAAAACAGGACAAAAAAAACAGCAAAAATCCAAAAAACTGACAGCCATAAGTAAATAAACCAGAAACGTCACAAATTGTACTTAAAATCTGAAAACAACACCAAGCGGCTTTTTTGTACGTATCTCTTTTCGATGTACGAATCTAATAGGTTCATAAAAATAACGTGTCTTTACTTAATAATGGGCGGGCGGTAAACATCCTGTAGTAAAGTAATAAAGCACCGCAGAGATTTTGTCATAAGGTAATATGTGAAGCCTAAAATGTTTGTATTGCGATATCTCTGTATTTCTCTTTAGGAATACAATCTTCAAATAAAACCTCATAGGTGCTAAATTACTTTACGAAAGTGATGACTACAAGATGTTTAATTGAATAATTTCAAAATAATTATATTTTTTTTACGAAAATATGTGTTTACAAAATTTGGGCCACGCGACATGACGCTGAGCCTTTTCGATAAACTTAGATCTATCAAGATTAACTTCTTTTACCTAAAATTAAAAAATATTAAAAGAATTTTTTTATATGGTTCCAATTTACTGAGACATACTGTATATGTATACAGGTTATTTACTTTGATAATGCAGTTATGTAGTTTTTTACATCGATGTGCGCCAACGAAACTCTTGATTCTTGAAATTTTCAATAATTTGATTTATAGTTGTGTTTTTCAAAAACAAAATTGTCCCTATATGCGTATATGCTTTTATACAAGCCTACATAATAAGATACAAGGCCATGTTTAGTCCAAATTTTAAATAGCATTGAACAAGGCTCGTGACCTGATAAATTACTATTATCAGTTGGATCATTATGAATTTTTTTTGATTAATAATGTTTTGTACCTAATAATAATATTTAAGAAGCTTAAAATAATCTACGGTTATTAAGCCTCTCATATGGCTTCTTGAATAGGTTGGTAATCATCGGGAGTATGCTTATTGGTTTATAAAACCATTTTTTGCAATCCCCCGGTATAGTATTTAATTCAGTGAAACGCAGCTTTATTATTTGATCAGGCCTTGACAGCGACAAATTTAGAATGACAAATTCACTACATAATGTGATTAAAACGGGAGTGGCCATAGTAGTTTCGTTATTTTTTTATGCGTTTTGTTTTGTAGAATTCCAAAATAGAAAAGTCGATTTTTCGATCTAACTAGGTCAAAACGTGTTTAAGATAAAGTGAAAACTGGTGATAATATACCAATTTTTTTTACGTATAAACTATCACGGAAAAATTGATTCTACAATAAAGTAGTGATTTTTTAAAAAAAAGTGTCTTAAGCTAATACTTCCTAACTGTAAAATGTTAATCATCTGGTAAATCCTTCTTAAAATCTAGTCTTTATCAATCCGTCTATCTGTCTGCACGAAGTAAAAGTCAAAAAGTCTTAACACTTACACATATATGCATATAGGTTCCACATGAGTGTTCCCAGGAAAAACCTGTTGATAGGCCACATGTAACCTAAGCTACAGATAAACCAGAATAGAGATGATATAGTTCCATTAAAAAGTAAATACATGATGTCAAATTTGGAGTCTAAAGTCTTAGTCTATTTGTAAAGCATTGATCTCTCCATTTTACGTTTTGTTGTCAATTATATGTCCGCTGTTTTTATGAGATTTAAGATTTCTGCTCCGTATGTGAGGACTGGTAGAACACACTCATTGAAAGCTTTCCTTTTTATTTCCCAAATGGATCGGGAAATTTGTTTTAAATACATCCCTTATTTTTCCAAATGCAGCTCAACCTAAACTTACTGTTCTGAGTAACTCAGATATCTGGTTGTCTCGCGTTAATCTTATTTCGTAGGCCAAATACACATATCTTTCCATAACTTCTAAAGGCGATTTCTCGATTTTTATTAGCTCTAGGGGACGAGATTTGTCATCATTTTTTTTTCAAATATATATATTATATATATATATATATATATATATATATATATATATATATATATATATATATATATCCGCGTATATAGGATCCTACATTCTGTATCTTTCACTTGGGCTATTCGATGAGCTCTGGAATAGCTTGACTTTCATATAGTATTTCATAGAAACTTTACAATATCTGTAATGTTACATCCACCCATCCTATGGCTCTACAACCCAATTCGAAATATTATATATTTCATTTATATCTGATTATCATTTACATGGCCTAGTATTCGTCTCAGTACCTTTCTTTTAAAGATGTCTGTGCGATTTACAGATTTTTGCGTCAACACCCAAGTTTTATGTCTTGTAGATTCGTATCTTAGTTCTTTGATGTACGTCTCGTGATTTAAATATCGGGCTCATAGCAAAGTATGCGTATTGGCTAATTGACTAGGATGATTCTTCTGCTAAGCTCTGCATTGTCAATGTTGTCCTTTGTGATGCTGACTCTCCTAAATAGATAAAGCTATCCGATGTTTCTAAGTTGACAACTGTCAGGTAGGGTCGTATTGTCCTCTCCGATCGACTTTTACTACGATTTTAGTCTTTACTTCGTTTATTGGCAGACCTATTTGTTTAGTATGTGATTTAAGTCCCATATACCTATTCTCACGTCTTGCTTTGGTTCTGCTCATAATATATCTGCATTTGGACGGATTTATTGATATCTGTGTTGTTTTTACCTTCTAATGTTTTTCTTACTACGTATTTCAGTGCTAAATTAAACAATTTTGGTGCCAACCCATCATCCTGTTTTAATTCTTGTGGTATTTGAAATGGGTCTGTCATCTCATGTTGTATCTGTACCTGAGTCACTGTATCCGACATCGTCATTCGGATAAGTCTAAATAATTTAGAAGATATTTCAAATTCACTTAATATTTTGTATAATGGTGCCCTGCTTATTGAATCATATTCCTGTT